ACCTTCCGCTCTCCGGGCGGATGCTCTAACCACTACACGACAGTATTGGGTAATCCTTAACTTATTTTGAGTAGTATAGGTTAACATAAATAGCCATAACAGCTACCTGCACATGCTGGTTCACCATTATATGGTCACATCTCATAGAGACAGTTCAATCATCACTTCTACATGTAGATTCATAAAAGCTTGTTATAAGTTATGTAAGTGGCTTAGGGCATTTCACAGGAATTTTATTTAAAAACAACTGGAAGGGCATTTTAGAAAATACAGTTCCATTAAAATGCATAGACTAAGGCATTATATATACATTTTGATTAATTAATATGAATCAGTAATTATACCTGTTTTAGATAAAAACCATTAAGTCAATCCATATGAGTATTATTGGAAAATTATTATAGATTATTAATAGCGGACAAAGTTTGCTGTTACTTCTGGTAATTAAGATGTACAGTATCTGGCAATAATTCTGTGACAAGGAAACAATGTTTTAACCCTTTCCATCAGATTTGGAGCACTGTGGACCCTGAGGGCTTGCTTGTTATTGCTGTGTGCCAGACAGTCGTTGATTTGCTATACTTATTTGTTATAGGAGCCTTAGCTCCTCAACAGAGTATATGTTTTTATTTATGTATGTATGTCTTATGTTGTTGTGCAAGTTTTCAGGTCATTTTATCAAAATACTGAAATAAACTGATGCAAAAATAATTATTTGCTTGTTCTCTTGTGGAAGACTGTCTCAACACTCTTGTTTCGATTCTCTTTTTATGGATTAAACTTCTTTTAATTTCTCACGACGTTTGAGACCATTCCAGGTCCTTTCATCAGGTGAACTGAGACCATAAAAAAAGTTATCTTGAGCCACTTGAAAGACATCACTCTTGTTTTCGTTGACAGAGTTTGGGCTACAGAAGCCGAAATGTATAATATCCAGATTTCAGATTTCAGGGTTTTTTTTAGGAGCACTGCCACACAAATCACTTCATAGGGTATAGTTCCTCTGGTGTCTTGAAGAGGCTTTGGTTAAGTAGATGGAATATTGCTGATTGCGGCATAAAACAAGACTCAATCCATGATCTTATTCTCTATGTCCAAGCTCTTCTTGCATTAGTATATTCACCAAGTCCTTTTCTGAATAGGTAGCTGGGACATTGATATTCATTTGTTCCAGGGTGGTGGGGTAGCCTAGTGGTTAAAGCGTCCGCTCGTCACACCAAAGACCCTGGTTCGAATACCCACATGGGCACAATGTGTGAAGCCCATTTCTGGTGTCCCCTGCTGTGATATTGCTGGAATATTGCTAAAAGCGGCGTAAAACCATACCCACTCACTCACTCCATTTGTTCCAAATTACAGTTGCAACATCATTTTGTCATGTTTTGCTTGTCTTTAAACTTTTTTTTGGTTGCCGCACATATTCAAGCTGTATTTCCGCTGTCAGTATTAGTGAGTGAGTCTGGACTAGTGTTAATAATTGGTTAAAATCGCGTAATTGATGATGGGATCTTTGACAACTGAATCATCAAAAATAATTGGTTAGCGTCATTTTTCACATTTTCCTGTTAAGGTTGTTAATGTAGATATATAAAAAAGAAAATGTCGTTCTTTGTTTTTATTTGCAAATGGCACAAAATGCATTGGTTGTCTTTCAGACGGGTTTGACATTGATCTTGTTGTGACGCAGTGTTGTAATAACTGTGTCGTTCTATAACTGGTTTGCTTGGTGTATTTGTCTCTATACGAGACCTAAAAGGATTAAGAAAAGAAATGAGAGAAGAAGAAATTATTTACAGCAAAATCAGTATGACACATGTACAAACTGGAAAAATACAAAGTCACATGCTCGTATAATGATCTGGTTTTATTAAGCTTTGATATAAAGCTGCACTTTATCAATGTACTCTACAAAAGACGTGGAGAAACATTGATATTCATGAGCAGATATTCATGGGTGTCATGTTGCCTATGATCGGATTACTTATGCTGTTGATACTATTACGTCTGTACTATTGTTCAGGCTGTGATGTAGATATAGTATTCCCAGAAATTATTAAGAAAATCTGATCATACTGGTAATAGAATGTTATAATAGGTGCTACAATATGTAGTACGGTACTCAATATGGGAGGCAACTCTTGGAGGCTTAAGAATGAACTTACTACATCAAGAGTTATCTCCCCTGGTGTAGCAGACCGCATACTTTGTTGACATGGCAGATTTGACAGCAGAAGAGAAAAGAAAGCAGGTTAAAGATGATTTTGAAAGGGATGTGACTAATGCAAAAGAGTTAGCTGGTAGACATGACATTCCTCTGTCTACAGTATACAGAACTTTGAAGAGTTGGAATTTAACACAAGACGGGCAGGGAGGCCAAGGAAGTTCAGTACTACGGATCGCTGGCGACTTGGTCAGATTGTGAGTAGGGGAATATTGAAAAGCGTTGAGAATATCAGAAATGAGATGATAAATGGAGGATGTCCTCAGATATGTAATGAAACTCTTAGACACGAATTACAAAAACTTAATTGGGTGAAAAAACGCGGAATTCCCGCACAATTGATGAAAGATGCACAAAAAGAAAGACGTTAAACTGGTGTAGGGCTCACGAAAATCAAGATTGGGATAATGTTTTCTTTTCTAATGAAAGCTTTTGTCTGGGTTTTTCCGAACTGTGTGAAAATTAGGACAAAAGATACCATGAAACCTATCTACCAACGCCCAAAACACAGCCCGAAATTTAACATGTGGGGTGGGATATCATCACGTGGAGTGACACCGTTGTGTATTTTCAATGGAAATTTGACGAAGGAACGATATGTTGACATCTTAAATGGTCACCTCCTTCCAACGGCCCGAACACTGTATGAAGATAATTGGATTTTCCAGCATGATAACGACCCAAAACAGTGATTGTCGGACGAAAATATTCAAGTTTAGACTGGCCCAGGTACATCCCAGATCTTAACCCTATTGAGAATGTGTAGGGACTAATGAAGGACAGAATAAACAAAGAAGGACTTAGAAATATTGAGGATACGAAGAAGGAAGTGGTCGAATATTGGGATACGCTGTCACACGATTTCCTACAAACTTTGGTCGGTAGTGTACCTAGGCGCATTTAATCGTGTTTTGCAGGGCAAGGACTTCTCACAAGGTACTGAAAAGACACATAGACTGTAAGAGAATCATATCTGGACATATTCATTTAAGTAAACCTTCTATAGTTTATATGTACATGTATTAGATATTTGCCGAAACAACTTTCTCGGGAATTTCTGGGAATACTATAAAAACAATAAAACCAATTCCATCATCTTCAGACATCTTCAATTGTACGATTCCTACTATATCATAAGATCAAGTTGACGAATCAGGATGTTACAGTGATATTTTCGAAAGAGTGAGTGTTTCCCGCCTCACCGCTGGAAACCGTCACCAGAGACCATCTAATATTATATGGTCTCTGCCGTCACCAACAAATGCAAATTCAAGTTTACTGTCCAAATGAGAAATACAAAAAAAACACACACATTGCAACCTGCGACCATATAATTATATAATATTTGGTCTCTGATATATTTATATCATATGGGGGGCGGTGGGGTAGCCTAGTGGTTAAAGCGTTCGCTCGTCACGCCAAAGACCCGGGTTCGATTCCCCACATGGGCACAATGTGTGAAGCTCATTTCTGGTGTCCCCCGCCGTGATATTGCTGGAATATTGCTAAAAGCGGCGTAAAATCATACTCACTCACTTATATCATATGGTCTTTGTCGCCACATACAGCTCAGGAATTACATCAGATAGCGTCAAAACCTTTAAAAAAGCTTTCCCATGTTTCAACCTGATTAAACAGCCGTGTGAGGCTGTACCCCCTACCACAATATTTATGACCAATCACTTTCTAATCTTGACTCAGATGCTCATCATACCGACCGCCTCCGTGGTGTAGTGGTTAGAGCGGAAGGTCGCGGGTTCGATCCACGACCGCGTCATACCAAAAGACGTTAAAATATGGTACTTGTTGGTCCCTGTCTGGCGCTCGGCATTAATGGGTACAACAAGGACTGGTCGGCTCGGAGTCAGTATAATGTGTCTGAGTGGTGTATTCATGCTTCACTGCGGCATGGTATCTCAGTGGGCTAGCACTATAAAACCAGCTTAAGTCTGGGCTAGTACAAGCAGTCGCACCTACACATACCCACGCATGCACGTCGTCATATGAGCGAAATATTCTCAAGCACGACGTTAAACCCAATTTCACCTCACCCCATCATACTGCTATTGGGACCTTTATTTTTATCCAAATCTACTTCGCAACACACCATACGTGTGTTGTGCCCTAAAACACTTAAGACCATTGTAGGTTTAAGGGCACAACATACGTGTACAATTTAGTCAGATAACACAGGGACCATATAATATTATATGGTCTCTGGATAACACAATGAAAATACATAATATCGATTACCCCGTCATGCTAACATATTCGGTTTAAAATTAGATTCGAGGGCTCAAAACAACATTAAATCTAATTCTCACCCTTCAAAAAACATAGAGATGCAGGTCCAATTTTAGAAAAATGACCGAGTCAATGAAGAAACAAATACTTTATTTTAAATTGTAAAGGAGACCCATTGAGATGAGAGATTCTGACCATGAGAAAATCTAGACATGCTTCATTTAGGGCTTTAGCATTGCAGAAAAGGCTGGGCGGAAAGGAAAATAACGATTTTCAGGGACTGTGAGACAGTTCAATTCACTCACTCACCCCAACTGAAAGAACACACATATTATAACCCTTTGTAAAAGCACAGTACTTTCAGTAATATCAGGGCACTGCATTATACTGGGGAGTCTACATAAGACGTATGTAGACTCCTACATTAAACATAATGGTGATTTTATTCTTGTTGGTGAACTAATACAAGTGAAGTGGTAAAACTAGAGTTCGATGAAGGATTGTTCCGGATTATAAACATGGTGCACTTCCGGTTCCGAAACAAGATGGCGGGAGCGAGCAGCCTTTCAGCCCTCCCGGCAAATACTGTTCGCCTTATTGGAAGTACACAAGTGATAACATCTGTTTTCAGCGTTATCAAAGAACTAATCGAGAATTCGTTTGATGCTGGATCAACAAGTATCGATGTCAAATTGGTACGGTGCTTGTTATTAGTCGTTCGCTCAAGGATCCGTGTAGCGCTTTCTCAGTTTCTGACCTATGATTATGAATCGTAGTGTGAATATGATGGCTTGTGTCTGTTGTTACGTGGGAGTGGGACGTATTTGGTATAGATTTGGATTCTCACTAGTACCGAGTCACAATTCCATTTTCGCAGTGACTGTCATAGTTGGTTTGTCAACACTACACACATACTGTTTACTGGTCGAGAGCCGCGATGCGGTCCTATACAGTCAAGACATGACCCTGCATCGCGGTCTTGACTGTATAGGCTATCGCGGCTCTCGGCTAGTCGTAAGAGGTGACTGATCGGGTGTTCAGGATCGCCGACTTGGTTGACACCTGTCATCGTATACCAACTGCGTAGATTGATGCTCATGGTGTTGATCACTGGATTATCTGGTCCAGAATGGATTATTTACAGATCTCCACAATATAGCTGGAATATTTTTGAGTGCAGCTATAAACAACAAACACAACACACATACTGGGATTTCCAGTGGTGATACAACTTTTGTGATAGGAAGAATGTAAACTTGAACTGAAAATGAAAAGAAATGCTAGATGTAAGCAAATGCAGCCTATTTATGGAAGTGTTTGTGTGTTTTGATGTATGTATATTTATCATGGTAAAGCTCTCAAAAGAAAAGTCTCATGATCCACTTTCCGAGAGTTTTTGCATTGTTAAGTGTCTCACTAGCTGCTTGTCTCTCTGATTGTATTATCTTTTTCACAGCATGTCTGAGAACGAACACCACCAACTGAGGTGGTTAACAAAAAACTTATCATGATTTACAGGAAAATTATGGTCTTGACAAGATTGAAATACGAGATAACGGAAGTGGGATCAAGCTACAAGATGTGGAGTTTGTGGCTCAAAGACATTACACATCCAAGATATCCTGCCATGCTGATCTAGAGTCACTTACAACATATGGCTTCAGAGGGGAGGCTCTAGGTAACTATTGTCTTAAGTATTCAGCCATCGAAATTCATGCAAGTCCACCAGCCAAAGGCTACTACATTGTCTTGAGGACAAGTTAACATAGTAGTATTAGTACAAATCTATTGGGAACCCTCATTGAGCAGTAGCATCCCTACAACAATATCTGCAGGTCATCAATCAATTACTGACTCAGCTGCTCATTCACCAGCTCCCTCATGCTGGCTCTCACTCGCCAACCTACGCACTGTCACTCTAATACCTACCCCTACATGCTCTTGTTTGCTCCAGGGCGGTGGGGTAGCCTAATGGTTAAAGCGTCGGCTCCCCTACATGGGCACACCAATGTGTGAAGCCCATTTATGGTGTCCCCCGCCGTGATATTGCCGGAATATTGCTAAAAGCGGCGTAAAACCCAACTCACTCACTCACTCTTGTTTGCTCCAATACACAATCAACCAATCAATCAATCAATCAATCAATCAACAGCCCGTGTTGGAAGTTCAGTCAGTCAATCAATAACTGTTTCAGTCTCTGTGTGCAGTATGTTCAATCAATCAATCAATAAGACTGTGCTGGATGTTCAGTCAGTCAGTCAATCACTGTTTCAGTCTCTCTCTCTGTGCAGATTGTTCAGTCAATCAATCAATCAATCATCTTTTCAGCCTCTCTATGTGCTCTATCTGATGTTTCTGTGACTACCAAGACTGCTGATGATGATGTCAGTACGACCAAGACTGCTGATGACCTATGTCAGTATCCGACTACAGTCTGACCAACCAGGGACAGATCTCCGACAAGAAGCCATCTCACCTTGATAATAATATTGTTCACATGACATCTGATCGTGTGGCACATATTATCAGATAGTTGACTTATGTCCCTCTCCGCAGCCCTGGATCAAAGTCAAGATAGCTTGTCTCATCTGTCAGTAATCCTCATCTGCTCTGAAACCAGCACTGAAGAAGCTGAAACTTGACATACTTGTTCTAAGCCGAAATCAATCGCCTCCGTGGTGTAGTGGTTAGAGCGTCGCCCGGAGAGCGGAAGGTCACGGGTTCGATCCCCGACCGCGTCATACCAAAAGACGTTATAATATGGTACTTGTTGGTCCCTGCCTGGCCCTCGGCATTAATAGGTACAACAAGGACTGGTCGGCTCGGAGTCAGTATACTGTGTCTGAGTAGGGTATTCATGCTTCACTGCGGCGTGGTATCTCAGTGGGCTAGCACTATAAAACCAGCTTAAGTCTGGGCTAGTACAAGCAGCCGCACATACACATACATACGTATGCAAGTCGTCATATGAGCGAAATATTCTCAAGCACGACGTTAAACCCAATTTCACCTCACCTCACCTCTAAGCCGAGATCATCCCGATTTGTTCAAGAGATCCAAATCTGATTTCCAATATAGTTGCCTCATCATCCATTGAGGAATGATGTTCTAGCAACAACCTTAATATCCAGTCCAGTTGGTAAATAGATTTGATGTTATGTATAAATATTTTCAATCCTTTATAAGTTGAATTTGCATTTTTGATCATTTGTTACTGTAAGTGCATACCGAAAGGTATCAGAATCTGCAAAGTTGTGTTTTACGTTGCATGTGACCTTTAAGCGATCACTTCTCCCCATCACCAGGCACCACGGTGACAGCCAGCCACCTGTTCCGGAACCTCCCAGTGAGGAAACAGTACCACAACACTGCCAGGAAGAAAAAGGAAGAGTTAAAGAAAATCGAAGACCTGTTTATATGTTATGGTGTGATCCGTCCTGACGTCCGACTGTCTCTCCGTCACAACAAGGAGTCAGTGTGGCAGAAGAACGTGTTGCCCGACCCCAAGGCCGTGCTGCTGAGTGTGTTGGGGAGAAACGTGATGAATAAGCTCATCAAGAAGGAATGCCACGAAACTGATCCCGTGGTAAATGAAATTCAAATTCTGTTTTATTTATCATGTATTTTCAGTAGATTTTATTAGCCAAGAAATGTGCTGAAAAAACTGATCAAGAAGGAATGCCACAATCTGATCCTGTGGTAAATGAAACTCAAGTTCTGAATTATTTTATCATATTTTTTATGTGGAAGTTATTAGCCAAATGTGTTTACATAATAGCATAATTTAGAGATGAAAGCAGTATCATGAAAGGCTTTTCATTCAGTAAAGTAACCACTGAAATTAAGATTCAAGACAATGTATGAGTGGATCGCCGCATTTATTATGTAGTGCAGAATGATTTGCTACCGTGTTTGCCTACAGAATCACTCATAAGTCATGGAGCTCTAAATCCATTTGAAATATTAGTCAATAGTTTGCTAAGCAAGCAGGTATTGCCTTGATGTATGGAGCTTGAAAGTCATTCCTGCTTGGTACCCTCATCGTCAGCTGCATATATATTTGGAATCTGCAAAAATAGCTTTCAGAAAATACTAAATGTAAGTTTCTGAAAAATATGCACATAGGTGAAATTCACTTTTCAATATCGTAAAATTTTGCTTAAATTTTGCACATTTTGGTCAAAATTTGACTACCGTATTTAATGTATTCTTTTTACGTTTCTATTCATGTCAATCAATACCTTGAACACCTATCAATGACTGTAGCAAATTTTGTTTCATTATTTTCATAAATAACACTTTTAAATACGTTTTTGTGTGACATGCAGAATTTCCCTGTCTGTGATCAGGCAGTCACGCGAATGAGTGACCCGCTTTCAGGTAGTCACTTGTATGCGTAATGGGGGGCCGTCTCACATACACGTTACGTCCTCTACTGATCATTGCTCTCACACAACGAAACCATGATACAAAGTGGATTAGGTTTGGTTTATTGCAGTGATGATCCATTATGTGATAAATCACTAGATAAAACAGACTGTTGAAACTTAGCTTGTAAAAGTGGGACAGAAAGCATTAAATCATTGTATTGTATGTTTATCACGTTATTCAGGTACATGTTAATTTTGTTGAGGTTGATGTTTATGGTTGTGAAGGTAGATATCAATTGTTGTTAAGGAAGAGAACAATTGTCATCCAGGTAGATGTTGATTGTTGATCAGATGGATGTTGCAGTTGTTCAGGTTGTTGATTGTTGATCAAGAGATATGATTGTTGTTAAGGTAGAGAACAATTGTCATCCAGGTAGATGTTGATTGTTGTTCAGATGGATGTTGCAGTTGTTCAGGTAGATGTTGATTGTTGTTCAGGGAGATATGATTGTTGTTAAGGTAGAGAACAATTGTCATCCAGGTAGATGTTGATTGTTGATCAGTTGGATGTTGCAGTTGTTCAGGTAGATGTTGATTGTTGTTCAGGGAGATATGATTGTTGTTAAGGTAGAGAACAATTGTCATCCAGGTAGATGTTGATTGTTGATCAGTTGGATGTTGCAGTTGTTCAGGTAGATGTTGATTGTTGTTCAGGGAGATATGATTGTTGTTAAGGTAGAGAACAATTGTCATCCAGGTAGATGTTGATTGTTGATCAGATGGATGTTGCAGTTGTTCAGGTAGATGTTGATTGTTGTTCAGGGAGATATGATTGTTGTTAAGGTAGAGAACAATTGTCATCCAGGTAGATGTTGATTCTTGATCAGATGGATGTTGCAGTTGTTCAGGTAGATGTTGATTGTTGTTCAGGGAGATATGATTGTTGTTAAGGTAGAGAACAATTGCCATCCAGGTAGATGTTGATTGTTGATCAGTTGGATGTTGCAGTTGTTGTTCAGGTAGATGTTGATTGTTGTTCAGGGAGATATGATTGTTGTTAAGGTAGAGAACAATTGTCATCAAGGTAGATGTTGATTGTTGTTCAGGGAGATATGATTGTTGTTAAGGTAGAGAACAATTGTCATCCAGGTAGATGTTGATTGTTGATCAGATGGATGTTGCAGTTGTTCAGGCAGATGTTGATTGCTGTACAGGTAGATGTTGTGATGTACATCCCCTCCCCCGGCTCGGATGTCCAAGTGATGAGTAGAGCGTCCACAGACAGGTGTTTCATGGCTGTCAATGCAAGACCTGTCGATGTCAAAGAAATACACAAGGTAACACTGTGATGAAGTCATTTTGTAGGAGGAATTGTTCGTTTAACGCAGAACTAAGCAATACTTCAGCCATGAAAGAGTAACTTTGGTCATTTCAAAAGAAAAAGGTGTCCTTCAACATGTTTTACTTGTGTATATAAGAGTATCAATGGCTGTGTAATTGTTGAAATTGTGTTTGTGTGTGATCCTGTACTGCCCCTCTCAGCAATATTACAGCTATATGACAATGTCCTGTAATAATTGGATCCCTTTGAGTCATGAAATAAATCTCTGTGTCTGTCTGGGTTAGAATTGGTTGTGGTCAACCCATGCTTGTCGGAAGAGGCGACTAACAGGATCAGGTGGTCAGGTTCGCTGACTTGGTTGACACATGTCATGGTATCCCAATTGCGTAGATCAGGGGCGGTGGGGTAGCCTAATTGTTAAAGCGCTGACTCGTCACGCCGAAGACCCGGGTTCGAATCCCCACATGGGTACAATGTGTGAAGCCCATTTCTGGTGTCCCCCGCCGAGATGTTGCTGGAAAATTGCTAAAAGTGGCGTAAAACCAAACTCAGTCACTCAGTCAATTGCGTAGATCGATGCTCATGCTGTTGATCATGAGATTGCCTGTTCCAGACTCGATTATTTACAGAACCCTGTCAATATATATATGTAGCTGGAATATTGCTGAGTGCGGCATTAAACAAGAAACCAAGAAACAACTCTGTTTCTGACCACCTTATCCACTGTAGACTCTTGCGACTAGAAATACGATGCTGTGAAGCAGTTCTAACCAGACAGGGGCAGTGGGGTAGCCTAGTGGTTAAGTTGTTCGCTCATCATGCTGTAGTCCAGGGTTCGATTCCCCACATGAGTACAATGTGTGAATGCCATTTCTGGTGTCCCTGCGGTGATATTGCTAGAATATTGCTAAAAGCGATTTAACTAAACTCACTCACTCACTCACTCTAACCAGACATCCCCACAGGGTTGTTTGACTATCAATTCTCATGTTGTTTTTTGTGCAGCTTATTCGCCAGTACTACTGCACCTGCCACAGTGTCGACACACTTCGTCACCCTGTCTACTACATCTCTGTGAACATACCACCCAGCCAGGTGGACGTCAACGTCGAACCCAATAAAACCAAAGTCATGCTGCAACACATGGTAGTGCTACTGAATATTTAGAATGTGAAATTAAATACTTGACCATTTGTCTATTTGGTCATTTTATCCGATTCCCTTTTGGGTCAGAAAGTGGGAAAAGTGTTCGCTCTTCTTGCCAAAGGTCCATGTTCTATTCCTGACGTGGGTGGTGGGGTATCCTAGTGGTTTAAGCGTTGGCTCGTCACGCTGAAGACCCGGGTTCGAATCCCCACATGGGTACAATATGTGAAGCCCATTTCTGGTGTCCCCCGCCGTGATGTTGCTGGAATATTGCTAAAAGCGGCGTAAAACCAAAACTCAGTCAGTATTCCTGACGTGGATACTATATGTGCAGCCCACTTCTGGCATCCCCAGCAGTGATATCGCTGGATTATTGCATAAAGTAAAACTATTCTTACTCTGATTCCACTTGCCATTATTATTTTTTTCAAACAATTTATACGCGAGAGAAACAAATAAAAGACTACAGGAAAATTCAAGTGTTCCTTTTTTATTTTCTAGTTTTCATCACCAGCTTTGAATAGCGCTGTGGTGATGATAACTGGAAAATAATAAAGGAACGCTTGAATTTTCCTGTGTGCCTTTATTTGTTTCTCTACGTATATTAAATCTTGATTTGCTGCAGCTGTTCAGAGCTGATTTGTGTAACTATAGTGAAATCATGTCATGGACAAAACAATATTCACTTTGTCAGTTATGATTCAGAAATTGTCACAAGATCTGTTCTGTAAGGTATCAAGAAATCTCATCAAATCAGTTATTGTAAAGTGCCTACCAACCTGTACCTGTTGAGGCAATTTTATCTGGAAATATATACTACCCATCAAAAGTTTAGACTCACTAGTGTAAATGTAGCCACTTACTTCAGTCAACTGTTCTAAACTTGATTTTGCAAAATATTTCATTCATTTTAAAGGTACTGTTTACACATGAACTAATGTATTATAAAACTAATTCGTAACATTAAGAAGATTATTGTCATGAGTTCAGTAAATAATGAAAATCAGTAAAAATTGGCGAATTATTAACAAAACTTTACACCAAAATGCAGCTGTTCACATGAACAATATTTGCACATGCTCTTTAGCAATTTGATGCATGATCCTCATACAATTCATCAGCATAAAGGTTGTAGTTGGTTCCCCCAAGTTAGTGAAGAAATTCATCTTCGATGTAACCATATAGATATATATATATACATAACATATAGTGAGTGCTATAGGTGAGTCTAAATTTTTGATGGGTAGTATATACATATTACCTGAAGTGTATGTTTTCAATTGTAGGATGTTGTCAAGAAATGTATCGAAGCTGAGCTTCTGTACGTGTATGGTCCCTTGGACAATCAGCCATCATGGAAGTACAAAGATCCAGACCCAAGGGTCAAGGACAGTGATGAGATCAATAATTCTGAGGTCAAGGAAAAGGTCACAAAGTACATTTCCCAAAAAGCTTAGCAAAGATGATGTGGTAGATATTGACAATGTTCCAGATTGTGATGAGACTATGATCAAAGAAACTCCATCCTGTAAGAAATCATTGAACAATAACAATGAAGACAATAACGGTTTCTCAGACAGTGACTTCGAGATATCTTTCATGGAGTTTGGTGATGAAAGTGTCTCGAAAGACAAACAGCTTCCTGCTTCAGATCCAGGGGGTTCAATATCTGCTTCTAATCCTTCTTCCAAACATGGTGAGGACAAAGATACAGCACAACTTACCTCAGATGTGTCTCAGCTCATTTCAGATGCATCAGTGAAAGATGTAGTTGGTTCTGAACATCCTCCAGAGGGCAACAAGGATGTAGTTGATTCTGAACATGCTGCAGATGGTGACAAGGATGTAGTTGATTCTGAACATGCTGCAGATGGTGACAAGGATGTAGTTGATTCTGAACATGCTGCAGATGGTGACAAGGATGTAGTCGATTCTGAACATGCTACAGATGGGGCTTTGGATAAAGTCATTTCTGAATCTTGTTTGAACAGCAGTCAAGAGGTGGTACCGGTTGGTGTTGGGGAGTTCAGCATCAGTGATGATGTGTTAGATGATACATTCTCAGCAACACAACAACAGAAAAGACTCAATCCTTGTTTGGTTACATCTACAAAGAAAGTTAGTGATGCTGTGTCACATGACCCAGGTAACAACCTTGACATTGACCTGACTAAAGAAAGTGTATCTGGGGAGTCTTGGAGTAGAGGTCAAGGGTTGGTGTCTACCAGCGGACAGCCTGTTCAGGTAAACAAATCTGCCATATTAACATCTAGGTTAGCTAGATGATGACCTGAAATAAACAATATACACATCTCTCAAAGGGAAGTATGCAGCTCTTGCCTGTAAACAGGAAATTGATCATGTTTCAAAATTTGCTCCAAAGAGAAGACACACTGAGATTAATGAACCTGCTTTTTGTCAGCAGTTTGTTTAATTTTGTTTTTATTTGTTGATGTTTGAAAACTACTGGTTTGTACTGACACAAGGCCTATCAAGCCAATACCTTTGTCATGGCCAAAAGTATTGTAAGGATGGATTGAGTCAGGGTTGAAGTCGGGGAAGTAGCATGTAGCATTGTTAGCATTTTTTTTTAAGCTGATTTGTGTTTCTGTGCAGCCTGTGACACTGTTGCCACCGACAACCAATCACACGCCAGGAAAACGTCCACCATCACCTTCCCATGATGCATCATTCATCAAACAGTTGGGACCTCCCGAGAAGAAGAGAGCTGTTGGGGAGAAGGTGAGATAAGTAGACATTATGTTACCGACAAAGATTTTGTTATAACTGAGATTCACAAGGTGCATAAATGCGGCGTATTTGATGTAATTTTAGTTGCTAAATATTCATTATGTTTTTCTCCCATTTGACGTAACATATTTGACCAGTCGGTACAAGTTCCTGCAAACACATCAATGTGATTGTAACAGAAAACGTTAATTTTTAATAGTAAAATGATTCAACCAATAATGTTCAAGATCTTACTTTTTGGTTATCAGTGTTAAACAGACTTGTGCATGATTCTGTAAGTTGTGCTAATGATTCTTAAAAACAAGTAGCATATCCCTGGACCTCTGGATAGAGGGTCCTCCCCCAAAAATGGAAAGATTTTGGTTAAATCCACTGACCATAACATACCAGATGATGTTAACAGATGGTACTTGATGTTACCCTGCCTGGCACCGACATAAATGGGATAAACACGTACTGGTTGGCTCTGAGTCAGTGTACTGTGTCTGAGAAGGGTATCAATATTAAACTGTGACATGGTATATAACCAGGCTAATACTTGGTGTTTCTTTAAGGATTGACGACCACCTCCATGGTGTAGTGGTAAGAGCGTCCGCCCGGAGAGCGGAAGGTCGCGGGTTCGATCCCCGACCGCGTCATACCAAAAGACGTTCAAATATGGTACTTGTTGGTCCCTGCCTGGCGCTCTGGCATTAATGGGTACAACAAGGACTGGTCGGCTCGGAGTCAGTATAATGTGTCTGAGTGGGTAATTCATGCTTCACTGCGGCATGGTATCTCAGTGAGCTAGCACTATAAAAACTGCTTTAGTCTGGGCTAGTACAAGCAGCCGCACATACACATACAAACGCATGCACGTCGTCATATGAGCGAAATATTCTCAAGCATGACGTTAAACCCAATTTCACCTCCCCTCACCTTTAAGGATTGACTGTGTATATTCATTGTGGTATAAATTGAAATATCACTGTGGAAACAGTATGAATCTGCCTAGGTCAGTGAAAAGAAGCTGTGAGAACCTTCAGGGAGTGATGAGGATTTTTTTCCCCCATTCCTACTTGACCTCTGACCCTCTGTTTGCATACACATATGCGAGGTCCCTGAGAGCTATTTTCACTACTTTTAAACCATTGCAATGAGAGTTTGACAAAAATCCATGCAAAACAACTTTCATTTTTGATAATGATAATGTCCCATGAGACATGACTTCTTCCATTTCTTCAGAATAATCAACATGTCACAGCATTTTGAAAAATCAGCCAGTATGCATTATGGTGTGAGAATTGTTGCATTTCTAAATATTGTCTTCCATGTCATGGGCAGATTCAGTAAATCATTCCAACTAATTGCTGTTCCAGACGATGCTTCAAGGGCAGACAACTCTGTACGACCTGGTGGGCAATGAAACTGTGAAGAGACAATCGGCTTTCCAGTTGTTTGTCAAGGACAGAACACAGGATGGTATATATCATGTTTTCTCTAGACATAGTTGCTGTACAGAGTTGCCTCCCTTAGTTTACTTTGTGCTGGCTGTTGGTTTAGATCCCACTGTCATCCTTGGTTTATAGAAGCAGTTCTACCTTTGTTGATTCCACTGAATTTGTGAAAGTCCATGACTTTGGCTTTCTTTCCACAGACGCTCCGTTTTTGTCTCCAAACGAGAATGATAAATTGCAAAATAACTCGAGTGAGTGCGTGAATATGGATTTTCTCCGCTTTTAGCAAAATACCACCAATATGACGGCGGGGGACACCAGAAATGGGCTACACACATTGTACCCATGTGGGGAATTGAACCAGGGTCTTCAGCGTGACGAGTGAATACTTTAATCACCAGGCTTCCCCACCGCCCTGTATATAACTCAGGAACAGTATTTAATGCCAATACGGTACATGACAATGAATACCCTCTACCTAACAATATCTGCTGTTAGTTCATCCCCATCACTGGAAAATATTATTGATATGTGTACAAGTTGACATCTTTAATGGAGGGGGCACCACAGTAGAAAGAACAGCACAAACAATCACTCTCCATGCTGCATGGTGTATGTCATTGTTGACTGGCAAGATGTGCTATTATTATTTTGCAATTCATCATTCTCATTTGGAGACTGACTGTAGAGCCGACATACTGTGATATGACTGAAGCACAAAAGCATTTATCACTTGTATATGACTAATATTCAGTGGGAAGAAACTAAATTCTTTCACTATTCCCTGTAAAAAGGACTAATAGTATTATGAATTAGTAGTAACAGGTCGTGACTTGGCTCATTCAGTCATTCAAAACAATATATTCACCACACAATATATTGATCTCTATGTGAGTGAGTGAGTGAGTTTAATTTTACGCCGCACTCAGCAATATTCCAGCTATATGGCGACGGTCTGTAAATAATCGAGTCTGGACCAGACAATCCAGTGATCAACAGCATGAGCATCGATCTACGCAATTGGGAACCGATGACATATGTGATCTCTATGTAACCATGGCAACAATGCTTCAACCTCTGTCGCTTTCCTCTCCACCAGTTGTTGAGGAGCATCCAGATGCTGACCAGGATGAAATTGGAGCCATTCTGAAACAAACTTGGAGCACGATGCCCGAGTCACAGAAACAAAAGTACAGAACTCATGTGTGGGACATGTAAGTACTGAGTGAGTGAGTGAGTTGGGTTTTATGCCACTTTTAGCAAAATTCCAGCATATATCTCGGCCGAGGACACCAGAAGTGGGCTTCACACATTGTACCCATGTGGGGAATCGAACTTGGGTCTTCAGCGTGACAAGTGAATGCTTTAACCACTAGGCTAACCCACCGCCCCTTGTAAATACTAAGTGATGACTAGATATGTTCAGGGTTGACCTTGAGTCAAGACTTTGGTGTCTAATTTACAAGAAGGTTACAGAGAAATTGGACACAATTTAGAGATTGGCTAATGGTTATGATTCCAACCAGTCTGTATCATTTTTAAGTCGTCTAGATGAGAATTTCCAGGTAACAAGTACTACATATGGTGATTGCTGTGAATAATGAGGACTGAAGTTATTAATATCAAAGGGACACACGATTTCACTGCAGTTTATAAAAGCACTCTTTTTAGACATTTTAACAGAAACATACACAGGTTCCCACATTAGGGTTCAGTAAAATCTTTAATTAGATACTATTCTCACCAAACATACTTACGTTTTACATCCAAGAGGGTAACTCCCAGTTGTCTTGTGGTCTGAGTTGGCTGCAGTTGGGACCCCATCGCGGGGTCGGCTTATGTACGAAACATACAGCTATATGTCCATATCCAATCTGTATCATTCTTCTGAAGAATGTGAAAAAGTTGATAAAATCGTTGACTCATACTGATGTCCCCAACAAAGATTGGTGCACACATTTTGTGAATATTTCGTGTTATTATGGAATACAATTGTTCTTGGGTATGAAAATGCCATCTTGTTATATATTAGAAGAGATTATCTTTTTGTCCAAGATTGTCTTGTGAAGAAGGAATTTGGTGACAACATATTGCAAATTTGAAAAAAAGTTTGAGGAAAGTGTAACCCATAGATAAGCCGACCCCTTCTACAGACTGCTATATTCGGCCTATCTACGGTAATATACGTTATGTGAAAAGCTTCGCCTACTGTTGTCACCATGTAAGTTAATTCTTTGTGTAGGTACAAGAATGAAGAAAGAGAGAAGGAATTCTCAACCAAAGGCAAGAAAAAAGTGGAAAAAGTAAGTACAGGTAGATGTGTGGTGAGCATCCAGCGTCATTTCCGTTGTCACTCGTTAGGATTCTGTGACTGTAGGAATTGCTTCATAGGATTCTAATTGTATTCTGATCAAGGAAACAATTGCAGTAAACATAAATCAAAATGTGTCCTTTTTAAATCAACATGCTTAGACTGGGTGTGTGTAACAGTGACTTTCCAATCATTTTATCTTTTATCAGAACAAGAGATTTGCTTGCCCACTTGGTCGACGTTATCCTATCCCAATTGCATAGGTCGATGCTCTTGCTGTTGACCTCTGGATTGTCTGGTCCATACTTGATTATTTACAGACCACTGCCATATGTCTGGAATATTACAGAAGGCGGCGTTACAAGCAAAAGATGTGACCATATCAGTCACTGGATTTTCTGGTCTAAATTAGTTGCAAGCCATCGGGAGCGGTGGGGTAGCCTAGTGGTTAAAGTGTTGGCTCGTCATGCCGAAGACCCGGGTTCAAATCCCCACATAGGTACAATGTGTGAAGCCCATTCTGGTGTCCCCCGCCGTGATATTGCTGGAATATTGCTAAAAGCGGCGTAAAACCAAACTCAGTCAGTACATCTTTTAGCTGGAATATTGCCGATTGTGGCGTGAATCAACAAACACTAACATTGAAGATCATTAGTCTTCTGTTGACTGTACTATGTTAAACCCAGCACTATTTGACCATTAATCCAGGGTGAGTGAGTGAGTGGTGTTCTCTGTGTTCTAGGGACGTAGCTCTGTTAGGGATCATCTTGTTTCCTCATCAAAAAACCTCAAGAAGTCCAACGATCAAACAGAACACACCAAGGTCAGAGATTTGGCCTTCAACCTGGAAGACCTCAAAAACAAATACACAAGCGATTTCAGACAAAGGTATGTGATTTTTGTCTCCCTGTTGGTATTGTAGACAAGTTCCTTGATAACTTAATATGCCTGTCACCCCATTGGGTGCCGGGGAACATTAGGTCCTCAGTTTTTACGTGTTTGTTTCAGCATGGGTGTTCCTGTGGTAGAATTAGTCCTCAGTACTGAAGGCTTGTCTAGTGATGGGTTCTCTGTGTAGAATGGGTCTTCAGTACCCCATGCTTGTCTCCTCTTAGGATTCAATAGCAGATTAGGTCCATAGCAGTACCTATGCTTGTCTCCCCCATAGGATTCCCCTTATAGCAGGATTCCATAGCAGAATAGGTCCACAGTACCCCAGAATAGGTCCTGTTTGTCTCCTCCCCTTAGGATTCCATAGCAGAGTAAAGGTCCACAGTACCCCATGCTTGTCTCCCCTTAGGATTCCATAGCAGAATAGGTCCTGAGTAACCCATGTTTGTCTCCCCCATGTGAAAAGATTCCATAGTACCCCATGCTTGTCTCCCCTTAGGATTCCATAGCAGAAAAGGTCCACAGTACCCCATGCTTGTCTCTCCACACAGAATAGGTCCTGATGTTCCCAGGGGTAGACCCCATGCTTGTCCTCCGCTTATGTTCCCAGGGTAGACTCCGTCAGCATCATCCCTCAAGACAAGATAGGTCCCCATGTTTGTCATCACAACCATCCTGCGGATCAAATGGTTACAGTTTGCATCCCAGCTGAATCTGTCACTGTACTTGGGTTGCTCGACAGTCACTGACTTGACTTGATTAGTTCAGACTGTGATGATTTGACAACATTTACACAAAATAAATGCATGCACCATCAAAGTGGCTAATGTTCACTTTGAATAAAAATCTGTTTGTTATCATCTTGTATGTTTAGTCATGCAAGTGATAGCAGCAACCTTGTTAGCTAGGCCACATGGAACATGGCAACTTTCACCCATAAATAGCTTCACGATTGTGCTTCTCAATCACAACTCATGTAGTTGATATGTATCATAACTCAAATGTTGTGATATGTCTCATGACTTGTGGATGAAGTTTTGTTATTTTACACTATTGATATGCGTGATGAAATCATTTCAGTCAAAGTCAAGTTTCTCACACTTCCAAGCTAACACTGATTGGTCCCCTGAAGTCATGTGGGTCCTGGGTATGTAGCCGTGGCAACAAGATTCTCCTGGCAAACCCTCACCGATTGGCTGAGACTATCCTGTATCATCGACTTCTGACTCAACATCAGCTGGCACCTCGGCCTGTGGACACGCCCATCCCACTGACAGTCAGGTATTACTGTGCTTCTCACCTGGCAGCCATAATGCAATGAGAGGGTTTTGCTTGCTTAGACTATACATATTTAAATTTGATTAGGTATTCACAAACCATGAAAACTCTTTAAAAAATATTACAGAAATAAAACCTGTTACATATTGTTAAATGTGATCAAATATTGACAGAGCTAAAGGAAATTCAAGATTGTTGAGCCAACACTCACTCACTCACTTGTGCATTCACTCACTCGCTCACTCACTCACTGAGGATTACCGTATTGATGGGATTTAGACTGACTCTATGACCTAGGGTATACTGTCACCACTTGGAAGTGTCTGTGTCTGAGGGTTTATCAGGATGTTTGTGTTTGACTGTAGAGCCTGGGAGACGAGAGTCTGATGACGACCTTGGAGAGTTTGGCCAAGGAGAATTGGACTCCTGGACCGTATGTAAACATAGGAGATGAGAGGATAACAGCCAACGGCTTCAGCATCAGATGTCGGAGAGGTGGGTCAACAGTCTCCTACAAGTGTTTCAGTCTGTATGAAGTCTTGTATACTGTTCAATGTTTAATAGGGATATTCTAACTGTCTAGGCTAGGGATAATCTGACTGGTTTTGTAGAGATGTTGTTTTATGAATAGGATGCTATTTGGGCATGGATCTGATGCATTATAAGCTTCATTTCATAATAAACAAAAGTCGGAATATCGGAATATTCCTATCAAATGTTTAGTAAAAAAATATGGTTGGTCTGGCTTTTAAAGACTGTGGATAGAAAAGGCTTTATTGTATCTAATGATGTTTCAATGCTACTTCTTGCCACTTTGTCAGATATATATGTATGTGAGAACTACTGATAGGTGTAAAAATTACTGTTAGGTGCAGTAATTTTCCATTACAGTCCTCTATGTCTCAGGTGAGAAATTTGTGTGGATTTGTGTCTTAGTCTCTGTTTTTTGTGGTTTTTTTGAGGGTTTTTTAAAATTAAAAATATGTCTGAGTTCAAATGTAGATGCATTTTCCTGCAGGCATCACTCTGGGTGCTTGGTCAGCTTCTGTAAAAGGGACTCAAAAATAAATATGTTGATTAAAAAAATATGGGAGGAAACAAATACTCATGTTTGTTCTCACAGGGCAGATGTCATACAAGACTTTTTGAATACAGATTATTTAAGGTGCTACTGTCAATCTGGCAACAATGTAAAATTATTGCAGATGTGGATGGGCAGTTCCAGGCTGAGCTGGTTGGCCTGGCAACTAACATTCCAATGTATGGTGTGGCAGATCTGTCTGAAGTTCTTGACCTCATCACTAACACAGATGCCAGCACCCTCAAGCAGGCACGACCCCTCAAGGTCATCAACTTTCTCAAGGTTAGAACGTTTCCCTCCAAGTGTCTTTGCGTGTGTGGGCTTGAATGTTCACTTGGACAACTGTAACATGACTCAAAGGTGTCATAGATATCCCAGTCATCTTAGGCTGCCACACTAGCTGTGTAGGGTTACCTCCCTTGGGCATGGCAGAATCCTACGAGCAGTATTTTTATCCCCCGCAAAGCGTTTTGCGTGGGGTATTAAAATGGACTCCGCCCGGTGGCGTCGTAAGCGTCCGTCCGATTCATCCGGTCCGTCCGTCCAAGTACACATTTGTCTTTTCGGAGCATAACTCTAGAACCGTTCAATGTTTCTTCACCAAACTTGGCACATAGATAGATCTGGTGGTGAACTGGTGCCTTTTGGTAGTTTTGAAATTCTGAATAAAACCATTTTGGCGTTTCCATGGCAACAAGTTTGACTTAGACTGAAATTGGTGGTAGGACTCTTTTCCGGAGCAGTACTCTTAAACCGTTGAATGTTTCTTCACCAAACTTGGCACAAAGATAGATCTGGTGGTGAACTGGTGCCTTTTGGTAGTTTTGAAATTCTGAATAAAATATTTTTGGCGTTTCCATGGCAACAAGTTTGACTTATACTGAAATTGGTGGTTGTGCTCTTTTCCGGAGCAGAACTCTAAAACCGTTCAATGTTTCTTCACCAAACGTGGCACATAGATAGATCTTGTGGTGTATTTGTGCCTTTTGGTAGTTTTGGAATTCTGAATAAAATATTTTTGGCGTTTCCATGGCAACAAGTTTGACTTATACTGAAATTGGTGGTTGTGCTCTTTTCCGGAGCAGAACTCTAAAACCGTTCAATGTTTCTTCACCAAACTTGGCACATAGATAGATCTGGTGGTGTATTTGTGCCTTTTGGTAGTTTTGGAATTCTGAATAAAATATTTTTGGCATTTCCTTGGCAACAAGTTTGACTTAGCCTGAAATTGGTGATAGTGCTGCTTTCTGGAGCAGAACTTTAAAAACCTTTCAATACTCTCCTTCCACCTTTCTATATACACACCTAAATATTTGACATAATCATAACTCGTAGACATAATCATGAAGCGTATTTTGCCATTGCGGGGGATATTGATGACTTTGTCTTCTTGTTGATACTGTATTTATAGTTTTTACTGAAGTAAAGAATCTGGTACTAGCACCAGTTTAGGCCTCCTCACACATCAACATAAAACACTGTGATATAACATTCAAAGGAGTCTAAAGCAATGCTAATTGACCGAATCAGAAATATCAGACATTATATTATGTACATTAAAGTGAGTGAGTTTGGTTTTACGCTGCTTTTAGCAATATCACAGCAGGGAACACCAGAAATGGGCTTTACACATTGTACCCATGTGGGGAATCTAACCTGGGTCTTTGGCGTGACAAGCAAATGCTTTAACCACTAGGCTACCCCACCGCCCCTCTGTATATCAGAGACCGCCTCCGTGGTGTAGTGGTTAGAGCGTCCGCCCGGAGAGCGGAAAGTCGCGGGTTCAATCCCCGACCGCGTCATACCAAAAGACGTTAAAATATGGTACTTGTTGGTCCCTGCCTGGTGCTTGGCATTAATGGGTACAACAAGAACTGGTCGTCTCGGAGTCAGTATAATGTGTCTGAGTGGGGTATTCATGCTTCACTGCGGCATGGTATCTCAGTGGGCTAGCACTATAAAACCAGCTTAAGTCTGGGCTAGTACAAGCAGATACACATACACATACACATACACATACACACGCATGCACATCGTCATATGAGCGAAATTTTCTCAAGCACAACGTTAAACCCAATTTCACCTCACCTCACCTCACCTCACCTCTGTGTATCAGAACAACAGGGATTGTGTTTATGTTTGTCATCGTCTTCTGTTGTCCAGGGAGAGGCAGTGAGGATGATGCGGCAGAGCTCCGCTGAGCGAGACCGGGATGATCTCCTGGAGCTCCTGCATCAGATGGAGGTGGATCTCCCCGAGGGCTGCTGCAGATGTCTCCATGACAAGACCTTCTTCCACCAGGTGAGTGACAAGACCTTCTTCCACCAGGTGTTTGATGTGGGCAGCGTGCCTGTAGCGTGTGATGATACACTTACACAGGCCAGTCAGGACTGACATCCTCGCTAAAATGTTTTCTGTGTATCTTTGAAAGAACTTGTCAAATTGTCCAGCACCTACTTGTGTTAAATGATAGTGAATCATCCCAGGGTTTTTTCAAATTTGGACCCAGTCTAAGACACCACAACATTTGGCTATGTAGAGCTCAGTTGCATTCCTTAGGTGTTCCAGGAACCTTTGGTCATATTTTCAAATACATATATATGAAAATAAATACATATGTATATTTTTCTCCTACATTTGTACGTTTTTACTTTTGATATTACTGTGGCTGTGTTTAGAATTTTGAAATTTGCCTCTTGAAAGATTTACAATACGAGGACTTTTGATATCTTTATTGTTTTGATATGTTTATATGATTTCATGAATGTTTGATATATTGACAGCAATCAGCAACAAGTTCTATCATCACATACAAGAATCATTTTTGTGATGGAGCCCCCGCAATAGATCACCGAGGTTTATGTGTATGTAAGAATGTAAGTACCGTATATGACCATCTATAAGACGACCCCATGGATAAGACGACCCCCAAAACCCTTAAAATAAGTGTCAAAATGATATGTTTCATGCATAAGTCGATCCTCCGCGATGGGGTCCTAATCGCGGCAAACACAGACCACAGACAACTGGCAGTTACCAATAATTTTTAACTTTGGTCCACATTATTCAAAGAATTCACAATCATATATATTGCGTCTACTCACGGATCGAAACAAAGTGTAGTTGACAGAAAATGCATGATATATTTATATCTCTACTGACAAAGTCGTCTTCTGTTGTTTGTTCACTCGAAGTGATACGATGTTGTTTTCTTACCCCTGGAAAAAAGTTTGATGAAAGCGTAACCTATGGATAAGGCGACCCCCTTCTACAGACTGCTTTTTTTGGTCCTCAAAATTTGGCTTATAGACGATCATACATGGTATGTGCACTGTTGAGATGGATGTTAGCATGTAATGTCAAGAGTGAAATAGTAGCTGAAATTAAGCCTGTCTTTGCCTGTTATTTGACATATCAGTCAGCAATATTTGCAGCATGTATTAAGCCTGAGTCAGTGTAGTCATCTCTTACCACAGACAGTAGAGTGCTGAAAAAGTGTCTCAGAGCCCCTCGGGTTTAGAATAGAAAATTTGAATAGAAGGAAACAGCTGGTCTTGGTTTGTCTTGAGTCAGCTTGCCCGAATACACCCGTTGCTACACAGTTTGCACGATATATGAATCTTGTGCTTTTTCAAGTTCTGTATCTGAGTACTAATTGAACAGAACCCATGAAGATCTGGACCTGATTTTCAGCATCCCATGCTTGTGGTAAGAGGCGACTAACATGTCAACGTATCCCAATTGTTTGGATTGATGCTTATGATGTAAATCACTGGATTGTCTGGTCCAGACTTGATTATTTACAGGCTGCTGCCACATAACTGGAATATTGCTGAGTGTGGCGTAAAACAATAAACAAACATTGAACAGATAAACATTCGTTGAAATATTATCGTGGAGGGGCAACCACGTCCATGGTACTCCAGTCAGGAGTTCCAAGAGAAATTAATTACATTATCGGAATAGAAAATGCTGTTTATGTTAGCATTCACACTTTCGGTGAATTTGTAGAGAGTGTACTTTGGGGGGATATTATCATGAAATAATAATTCATACGAAAATTCATTATTAATTATAACCACTACAAGCGATATATTAGGATTCAGATATTAGGAAAATATAAATATAGAATATTAGTTTCATCATGTATCAGTAATAGCTTAGAGAAAGACTCCAGTCAAAAGTAGTAAAACTCATCTCACAGACATACTATTGAAAAAGGTATAAGTTACGGCTGCACCATTTCACAGATGTTCAAGATAAATCTTAGCCTAATGTATCAAGGACTCAACTGCTAGACAAACCTTTCAATAAAATACAGCTACAAAATCTATGACTAGACAGTTTAATAAACTGCTTTAAAATAACATTGTGCAAACATTTCAAATAAATAGTCACCAAATCTGATTTTTTGTCAGTGGGGTTTAGACTCCCAACACAGGTCATCTCTAGCCCTCAGCCCAGAGGGTTGTACCAACTCTCTGTGGCCACCCTATGTTATTCTGTTTCTTGTTAATAAAATTGTGATTAGCTTCTTGTGACTTCGGACTCTTTGCTGAGCTAATTCCCCATCAGCAGACTAGCACGCCAGTTAGATAAGGCCTGACTGACTGACTGAGTTTGGTTTTAGGCCGCTTTTAGCAATATTCCAGCAACATCACGGCGGGGGACACCAGAAATGGGCTTCACACATTGTGCCAATGTGGGGATTCGAACCCGGGTCTTAGGCGTGACGAGCCAACGCTTTAACCATTAGGCTACCCCACAGCCCCAGTTAGATAAGGGGTCTCACCAGAACCATCACTGGGACCCAAGACCCTTATCATAATAATATGTTCATTGGTTTAAAAACAATTTTTGTGTGTCTGTTTTGCATCATTAAAGTGTGGCTTTAAACAAACCAAGGACAAAGAGGACAGTGCCAACAGATACATTGTTTATCCTTTATGTCAGATATTAACTTTTTGGGGGTGGTGGGGTAGCCTAGTGGTTAAAGCATTGGCTCGTCATGCCAAAGACCCGGGTTCGAATCCCTGCATGGGTACAATGTGTGAAGCCCATTTCTGGTGTTCCCCGCCGTGATGTTGCTGGAATATTGCTAAAAACGGCGTGAAACCAAACTCAGTCACTCAGTCAGTATTAACTTTTTGACATGTTGTTTATTTAGTGGGGAATATGGACTTCCCCATCCCCCACTTATATGCAGTACTAAAGCTGGTGCTATGTTTTGTTGTTAACTGTATCCGCAATGTGAATAATTTGTGTAAATATAATTTTGTTTGTTCTGTAATAGAGTGTGAAACATCTACTTATGGCAAATGCACATTGATGTAAATTTGTATAAAATCTTCCACAACTTTTATGTGTTCTGTTTTATTAACTCACCTGTCATAAGTGTATATAAATATGTGCCTTGGAATGTGAGTGTATGTGTATGGTTTTATACCAATATTGAATCACAGACTCCAGAAATGGGCTTCACACATTGTTACCATGTGAGGAATTGAAACTGGGTCTTTGGATGACCAGCAAACACTATAACCAAGCTGCCATCACCCCTTTTGAAAGTATAGCAAGGACAATTATCCATATTGTGACAGGATCTGGCGATGACTTGGTTGACATATTTCATTGTAATGCGGTACCATATCTAAATTGCCTAGATCGATGCTCATGCTGTTGGTCACTGGATTGTCTGTTACAGACTTGATTACTTATGGACTGCCGCCATATAGCTCGAAACTTGCTTAGTTGGTTGTTGAACAACAAACAAACACAACAAGGATTTAGGGAGTGAGTGAGTTTAGTTTTACGCCGCACTCAGCAATATTCCAGCCGTATGGCGGCGGTCTGTAAATAATCGAGTCTGGACCAGACAATCCAGTGATCTACAGCATGAGCATTGATCTGCGCAATTGGGAACCGATGACATGTGTCAACAAAGTCAACGAGCCTGACCACCCGATCCCGTTATTCGCCTTTTACGACAAGCGTAGTCGTCTTTTATGACAAGAATGGGTTGCTGAAGACCTATTCTACCCGGATCTTCACTTGTCCATTTAGTTTAGAGTGGTAGGGAATTCAAAACATAAATCATAATTAACATAAGTAAATTGTACCGATCACTGATTTCTGTTGAAGGATGGGAACATGAACAAAATATAATTGCATCATGGACTGTCCTGTGACATGTACATTGGATCATAAAGCACATAGTAAGGAATAAGATCTACCCATGCAGTATTATTGTCCTAAACATGTTTGTTGGCGTGTGTAACTCTGCATTTAACAATATTCAATCTTAGAGACCGACATCATGATCGAATATTAGTGCTGGGAATTGGAGTCAAAATCTCATAATTGATGACTTGTTCATTACAACCGATCAATCATCGGAAATAATTGATTAGCGTCATTTATGAAATTTTCCTGATTATTTTTGTGAATGGAAAAAAGAAATAAAGAAAAAACCATGTAACTCTTTGCATTTTGCAACAAAATTCAAATTTCATCTTTAATGACTAGTAGGTTAGGAACAAATATCAGTCTTGAAGATAAATTCAGCCATGACTTGAACATTGCAGTGGTCATGAATGTAACTACCCAGCCTTGTGATATTGTTAATGCAAACCAGTGTTCCAGAATTGTTTGTGTTATTATGAGAAAACATGATCGATTGCTTGGTCGTTTAGTCATTGCGACCAATCTTCGATTATTTCAATTAATCGACCACCACTATCGAGTATCCATCTACCCGGGATATGAAGATGTGCATTAATCATGAGCCTCACATGGGTACAATGTGTGAGGCCTATTCCTGGTGTCCCCCGCCGTGATATTGCTGGAATATTGCTCAGGCCTACCATACAAACGGTGAACAAATCATCAAAACTGAACTCATATACACCAAAACAGAACACAAATCACCAAAATAGGAAAATAAACTTCCCAAACTGCAAGAATATCCTCTAAAACCGAAACAATACATCTGTAATGGAAGACTAACCGTTTGAAATGGAAACAAAACTCGCGTATCAGCTACAAGAGCGCGCGAGAATGGTCGCCGAGCGTACAAAACGGCAGTCGTAGCATCCCAACACGGCAGTCATAGCATCCGACAACGGCAGTCATAGCATCCCGAAACGGCATACAAATCGTCAAAGATGGCGGCGAGGGGAGACGAATAGGCTATGGTACATAATGTTTTTCGTCACTATGAGTCTAATCTTGAAAATTTGATATTGGGATGTAGCGCATCAACCCCCTATTGTAGTTAGCTTCAAAACTATGTCCATACTTCTCCGAGTGAGGTTTGCAATTCTGCACAATGTGGTCCCTCGTTCGACCGAATAGGATTTCTTGTCAACATGCCGGGCTACTTTTTCTCTTCAGTTGTGTAAATAAAGTATTCATAGCATCACAATCAACATTAATATATTTTAGCGATTTAAAAATTTACAAAACTTTGTTCACTCTCCGTGAACTGCATATCTAAGTGATCATTTTTAAAGTGTACGAGTGCAAACTCGATTTGTATGGTAGGCCTGTTGCTAAAAGCGGTGTAAAACCAAACCCACTCATTCACTCACTCATATAAAAAGCATACAACTGAATAACATATATGTAGA